TGTAGTGAATATACTTGATGTGCATGTGCATGCCGGATAGACTTGGCAAAGATTCTGGTTGCTGAAGTGAGGATTTGTATTGGGGAATATTGGAAATTACAGTTAATAGAGTATTCTGGTTAGTAAAATGCCAGTTAACACAGCTTTTACTGAATTATAATAATTCTGTTCTTCATAAATATTATGATCTTAACATTGGTTTCACTTTCATTCCTCTAAAAAATTATTCAGGAATCACAGACCTATAGCTACACAAGATTACTGAACACTGGATGGAGATCTAGGCAACATTATTGAAGTAACATGTGTACACCAGGTCCTGATTAATAGGCTCTTTACAGGGCGTTCTTTTACCTGCTGTTCACTGAGATCCAGTTTGCCTGGAACTGATAAAAACTGTCCCAGTAGAGTCATCATAGGGTTACTTGTATCTGTAAGGAATATGTTTATTTTAAGTTCATAGGACTGCTCGCAAGGAGGAAAGTTAGACACCTATGTAAATATTGTAAGACAGTGATACCCATGTCACCTGGCCCTGAGAACCAGATGAGTGTTATGCAGCTGGCCCACAGACCTGATCTGGCATACAGGGCCAGTTTGACAGCCCGATTCACCCCACAAGACTTCTCAAAGATCTGGAAGTTTGGCAGTGGGAGAACTAGGGCATCATTAATTGCCTGAAGCCATGACAATTAGCACTGCTGCTGCTCATCCCTGCCACCAAATTTCCAGACCCGCAGAGGCTGACACAGTTCTCCCACTAGATTTGGGTCGTGGGCTGTATCTTGGTCCACCCCTGTTTTAGGAAGTGGGCCTAACTCTGTGAAAACAGGTGGGTTGTTTAGCATCTTTAAGACCCTCTTTTATTAAATAAGTACACCTTTCCTGAGTGTTCTTATACTTCATTTCCATCTCTCTGTTCTAGATCAGCCTGGAAAACAAATTTATGCTTCCCACACATTAAATATAGTGAATGAAAATCTGTGAACTCTCCCCAGCATTCTTCTTTAAATAGTAGCAAAAGGGTACATTTTGGAATTGCTAAACAACTACATATAGCCATGAAAAGCCATCAGTAATTTGTCAACAAATTTGAGTAAAGAAGTATTTTTTCTTTAACACTAAATATATCAAAATGCAAATTTAAAAAGCGGTAATATTGATTTATAAATAATTTAACCGAGAAAAATCTTAATTACATTTACTTTGAGTTCTTATTTCATAACATTTCAAAGTCAGGAGAGACCACCTGGAATCAAAGAAGAAACATAAGAATATTGGACTGGCAAGGGTCATTGAGTACAGTGTCTGCAATCACAGACAACCACAAAACAGACATTAAATACAGAAATGTGCAGTAGGACATGTGCTTCAGCCCCTCCCACATACCACAAGCCATAAAGCTTCCTCTAGCACTGAAGGTGCAGACAGAAGTTATATTTGTCACATGATCATCCCCTTGAAAGTGCTCTACAGCCATGCCCTCACAGAAGTGCACAGCTGCAGAGCACTTTTAAAGTCCACAACTGCAACAAATTAACCCTCATTATATGAGGGTTCAGATGAAGGTGCTCCAAAGTAGAGTGCCTTCACTAACTTCCACCTGCTTGGGCAGCTGGATAGATACAGGCCATCCCTGCCCCTGGTGCTGTCTGCATGATCAGAGTGGGGAGGGGAGAGAGATGGGGCTGGGGTTTGCCCGGCCTGTGCTCGGGGGTGGGGGTGGATTAGAGCCCCCCCCACATCAGGGGGGCTACAATCCACTCACCCCCACTCCAGCACTGCCTGGGCAAGCCTCAGCCCAAGCTCCTTTCTCTCCCTTCCCCCCCTCCCCCCGACATTGTGCAGACAGCACCAGAGCTGAGATGTGGGGGAGGGGGCGGGGCTAGGGGAGAGATACTGCAGACACAGCTCTTTGGTTGGACTGGCTCCAAAGTGGAGCTTGATCCCCCACCCTCCTGACCCAACAGCGAATGTCTGTTGGGTTGGGAGAGTCAGTGTAACTCATGGAACTTTCTGTGAAGCACTGTAAGTTAGATCAGGGAGTTGCACATCTGTCGGTGCCCTCAGTAACAAACTAGGATCTTTAGTTCACAAAACTAATGAGGTCACAAACTATAATGTGTCACAGAAAAAGAGCAGGAGAGAACAATGGCATCACCAGTGCCTTAGGTTCCTACATAACCAGAGAATTTATTAGGTAAAATATATCCAACTCTTTTTAGAAAATATTTAGCCTAGGAAAAAACAAGGAAAGCATGGAGGAAATCAAAGACAGAGTGAGTTTCTCTACATAGCTCCCGGTCCCACAATGCACTTAACCACAGATTTTACTTTGAGTGCAGGAGTAAAACTATTATATTAAATTCATATTAGACAGTATGAAAAATAAAACAGGCTCTATGGAGCTGACAAGATGAATCTTGCCACATCAAATTAATTTGCTAAATTCTTTAAGATGCTGGACATTGGATGGAAGCTCAAAAGAAAGCCCTTGGCAACTTTTGCAGCTTGCCATAAGGGACTTTTCTGGATTTAATTTTGGGGTTTTTTGGATCTGGGCCCCCCCATCATCCACTGTTGCAAGCTATGAAGAGAAGCAAAACTAAACATAATCTGGCCAAATGGGAGCTAAAAATAGGCAGCAGCTCTGGACACACTCCCACACCAGCATATTCTTCTTTGCAAAGGCAGTCAAAAGTGGATTTTTAATGTGTAGTAATTTTAATGGTAAGAAACTTGGAAAGCTGTGCTACTAGAAGAAAGAAATACTTAAATTGTTACAATTAAACTACATATTTATAGTGCATTGCTGCTATATATGAACATATACCTTACCACTGAAAACTTTAATACCTAAGCCAATGGCTTTCAAAGTTTATTGGCTCAGATATCATTTTCCTCAAGAAAACTGCTGTGCAGCAAAGTAATGCAACATCAAGCTCATTTAATGCCACTGTTACAGATTCCAGAGTTTTGGAACCCTGGAGCTAAACTACAACCTGCCTTTCCAGCTGCTTTTGATTTTTGAAGAAAGAGTGACATTTAGTGGTGAGCTAGGGTAAATGCAAATGGATGAAGGGTGTGTACAACTTAGAGCAGTGGTTCTTAAGGTTTTAAGCATAAGACACCCCTCATTTGACTCAACGTACTCCTCAGAAAATGCCAGCTCTTCACTTTCCCTCATTTTTTTGGAGTATGGAAAAATAATTGTGTTGCAAAGAACTCAGACTACAACAGGTCATTTTTTTTTTTTTTTTAACACTGTGGATTTTTATTTGAAATCATTGGGCACATCCAGACAAATGCGCACATGCAAGGTTATGCTTTTCCTGTGGGACAAATAGCAGCGGCACATATCTGTACCACTGCTATTTGTCTCTGGGCACACCCCTACACATGCACTCTAGTGTATGGCAAAGTGACCCAGGTGGAGTAGGGGAGACTGGGGCCAGCAATGGAAGAGGGGGGCTAACAGGGCTTAGCTCCTACAAATGCGGGGCGGCAGTAGGGCCGCAAGGCAGCCTGGCTGTGGGCTTCTAGTGGCTGCAGCAGGGGTGAGGAGGGAGTGGGAGTGGGGCTGGTGTTGGCGCTGCCCAGCCAGGGCAGGATAGCGTGGGGCAGGATGCGGGATGGAGCCGCAAATGGCTCATCCGGAGGGCCACACAGATCCAGGGGCACATGCCCCCCATGCCTCCCAGGGTGTGCACAGCAGTGGGAGTCACCACCCCCTCCCTGTACTGGGCATCCCCTGGACAACCTGCTTATGGCTCCAACCTGCCCCCCATGGGGGGGGGGGGGCCTCAACCCTCCAAATATTTTTTTTCTCCCTCTGCCTATGGCCAGCACTTGTACTAGCCCCAGCAGCCTTACCTGTGGGATTAGGGGCCTCCTGGGGCAGCAGTGGTACTGAGCTGGCTGCTCAGAGCCTGGGCAGCAGCCAGGACATGGCTCTGGCTAGCCAGGCTCCCTTTCTGGCAGTGCACACTGTTGCCACATGCGCCACACCACTTTTTTCAGCTGTGGTTTTTAACACCAGGATCTCCTGGTGTCAAAACCCCCCATTGTTCTGCAAATTAGCAGAATGGTGAATGGAAATACGTGTGCCATGTGTGCTTTGCAGTGTCTCAAACTGCTTTGAGGCTCCATAAACTGCATGTGTGCGCTCATCAGGACACACCCATCAGGATAGCTTATGAATTATATCTGCATACCTAGCACTGCTGACATTGTATAGCATCCCATGGCATTCCAGGGTGCTGCATCACCCTGGTTGAGAATCACTGGCTTAGAGCAACCCTGTTTTTTATGGAAAGAAGTCAGCATATTAATAGGCTATAAAGTATTCACTTAATTCAGCACATTTATTGTACTCTTCTTTGGTGTTTAATAAATCATTTACCACTTCTGTTGGCACAATAAAATAATACAAAATACAGGTGCCTGAGATTTTCTTGGCTGATACCAATTGCCGATGATTAACCAACCATATCGGCCAATGCTGATCCAATAACTGACATTTAGTAATAGTGCCAGGCATTTTAAACTACTGATATAAATAAACCTTTTTTGTTTATTTTGCATTTACACATGCACGTCTTCTGCCTGCTCTCGCCCTTGATGAGGAAGGCAGTGACCACCTTATTCCCACATACTACCCCCTTGCCAACAGTTCCTACCTGCAGCTTTGCTCCCTGACATCCCTGGGTAGGTGGGGCAGACCCTTGTGAGGACAGTGGTGCCAGAAGTGTTTGGAGGGCCAGAGCATGCCACTGCCTTAGCGCTGGCAGGCCCCACACAGCTAAGCTCCTGTGGCCACCAGGGAGAAGCCACTTTTGCAAAGGCACCAAGTGCCTGGCAGAGCAGACTGTCTCTTACACAGCGCCTTACTTTACCCATACACAGCCTAATGTCTCTCTGGCAACCCTAGTGCTCAGGTCCCTGCTGTGGGCACAGTGTTGCCATGGCAGCAGCAGCAGGAACCGGTAATGGTCCCTTTGTTGCTGAGTGCAGCACCCTGTGGCCATTCCCCAGCATCCTCTCCCAATCCTGCTGCTCTATGGGACCTGTAGCCTGCTGTGGGCTTGGGCCAGCGGTGATGACTTTGAAACTCATCCTAAGCTTGGGCCTACTTACAAAAGTTAAAATAAAGAATAATAATGCTAACTGCATATTGCAAGAAGATGCGAGTTTGTGGCTAGGCCACCTGAGAAGTATCTCTTCCAACTTATCTTGCTATATTCACGATGATTTTAGGCAGACTCTTAGTTGTCTGGTGTGTAACCATATGACACGTCTATCCTTGATTAATTAGTATAGTAAATATTTCTTTTGTGACTAACTCGTGTTTATGTGCAGGAAGAGACATTCTCCATATGCAATAGACGCCTCCTCCTGATTCAGTATGTTTCTCCTGGCTGTTAATGTTTCTTGATATGTTCCAAACTGGATAACCTCTTGTTACTGTAGAAGGTAACTCATTCAAATTAGAAATTTCTGATAACCAGTAATGAGCAGGTTTTTCCTGTCAATTACTTCTTGGGACTCTCTCTTGATTTACACAACTAAAAGAATGCTTAGAAGATGCTAAACTGAGGGTATAAAAAGGCAGTAAAACAGTGTGCACTTCAAGAATGAGAAATTTCTCTGACACCAGTTCCTGATGCACCCGACTTACTCAAGAAGCTGAAGAGAAACAGACCGCCTCTTTGTCGCCTGTTTGGTGAAAAATCATCACCTTATAGCTAATTACTGGATTTGATTTGGTTTGGGCTCACTTGACTTGATTTTAAATACTTGTAGTAAATAAAGCCTTTCTGTCACTCATCGAACAAGGTATCATGTCAATCCCTGGGCTAGTCCGGAACCCTAGGTTTTTATTTGCTAACAGTGGTGGAGTGCAGGGACTGGACTATGCTTGCCAGGGTGCTCCTGGCACATGGCTGATAATGTCATTTTTCCTTTTACAGGTGCTGATCCAATAGCCAACTGATATACCCTAGTAAAAAAGTATCATTGTCAGTAGCTACATTAGTTTTGGCTCATCTCAGCACTATTGCTGAGAAACACAATCTTATGGAAATGCACATTAATAGTCTGTGATACAATATCTGATGTGTCAGAGATAAATTTAAATTTCTTTGTACCTGACTGAAGATAATTATGTTGGTCTTGATAGTGGGGAGCCAGATGAACTGTTTTTAGGTCTCTTGTGCCAGAACTGTTTATACAAAGTATCTGAGTACTTCCTTTCACTTGGCAGATCACCTGAAATATATAACTATCAATTAACTTACCTCTAAAAGTAGGGTGCTCAACATCTGGTTGGCAAGCCAAACGCAGCTGTTGAACCATAGTATCCAGCCCATGGGCTCCTCACAGGTCAGGAAGGTTGGTGGTAGGGGAGCAGTGGCACTTAATACTGCCACCCTTCCCCGCTGCCAAATTCCCAAGTTCCACACTGGGGCTGGACCCACAAGGCCAGACTGGAGCTGGGCAATGCCTCAGTCCTTCTGCATGGCTGGGTTAGAGCCAGGCCACACCCACTTCTCTCTGTAAGGCTGGGCCATGCCCTCTTCCCCCTGCACGGCTGGATAGAAGCCAGATCATACCCTCTCTCTGCACTGTGAAGCCAGGTTGGGGCCAGACTAAGCCCCTTCTACTGTACAGCTGGATCAGGGCCAGGTTGTTCCCTGTGCCCTCTGCAGAGCTTGATGGGGCCCCATCATGCCCACCCCAGGGGTCAGATTGGGACTACTAGCCTATTCGGCTCACCATCCAAAAAGGTTGAGCACCACTGCTCTAAGGGACAGTATTTCTAAGCGTCCAGATATAAAGGTTTCCATATGAGTAACATTCCATTTTATAAAAACTGCCTGATCACAGAATGCCTAATTTCTCAAAGACACCTGGATTATTACATATTAGACTGTTTGCTTTACTTTCTTTATTTTCAGTTTATTTTTAAAAACAGTTATTGAGCAGCTATGCTGTTGCTTCTCCTCACATGTAGAAAGTATTCCAAAGTTTCTAGGGGTGTAGGTTGTAGCCATGTTGGTCTAAGGACATAGGCAGACAAGGTTCTTTTGGTGAATCTGATATCTTTTATTAGAGCAAATGGCCTCACAGTATGCCAACCTTTTTATGAACCACCTGGAAGAAGAATTCCTCAAGGACTGCACCATTAAATTCTTGCTATACTTAAGATATATCAATGACATCTTCACCATTTGGACTGAAAACCTGCAGTCTCTGATTGAGTTCCATCAGAAATTCAACAACCATCAGCCCTCCATCTAACTCTCTTTTGAATACTCCAGCACCAACATCTCCTTTCTAGATATGATGATCAGTATCCAGAATGGTAAGATACAGACCACAACATACAAGCAACCCACAGACCAACATACATATCTGCACGGAACCAGCAATCACCCTAAACACACCAAGAAAGCTGTGA